CTTTGGGTTGGTCCAGCTCCTTGGCATGATACTGCCACCCCCTACCAAAGCTACCACTGCGCAGACTTGCTACTCATACCTGCCCTTTTCCTGAAAGATTCAAGTTTCAGATTAACCCCCTTTCTTATCCCCATTCCTCCCGCCCCTTCCCCAGTAAAAAAACCTCGCTTCTATGAGAGAGGCATCAGCAAAGTGCTTAAAAGAAAGCATACTGGGTGTCCAGTTGTACTTCCTGGTACCCACTTCCTCTAATACCCGTTTAGATTAGAATTCTCCAGGTGCTGCTTGGGAGACACATAGTAGGACAACATTTCCCAGCCTCACTTTCATGGAGTTGTGTCCCTGGGACTCAAATTTAGGTCCGTGGGATTTGAGCCTCTGTGATGTGTATACTCTCCACGTAGCCTTAAAGGGCAAGCTGATTTTATCCTCCTTCTGCCCCCCCCCCTCGAGAAAGTCCTCAACTGAAGCAGAGACTTCTGATGGGGAACTTCCCCACCCACACAAGCCCCTGGATAGCCTGTCCCTTGCTTTGTGGGTTTCTTCTAGGAAGACTCATCGTTTCATCCGTGGCCCGCTGCTCTTCTGAGCTTCAGCACCTTTCCTGGGGATGTCCAAGTTCCTGGTGCCTATTCTGACTTTTCTTCCCCAGTGGCTCCTCCTTATTTCTAGGCTGGAATTCTCTGATGAGCCCTCCAGCCGGAACCTTCTGCTAATCAGCCCTGCCCCGGCTGCCCTACAGCTGCCACAACTGCGGCACATACACGGGTGAGATCACCATCATTTCCTTGAAATACAGTACGCTCTTCCTCCTGTTGGACCCAACTGGAAGGGTGATGATCTCGCAGCCACGTAGCTGGGAAGGCACTGAGGTGCCTTTCTGTCCCTGAGCCCTATAGCAAGCACACTAGTGACTGTAGTCCATGATCTCCCTCCTAAGTATTTTGAATCTCCTTGCCCAGATTTGGGTCCGTGTCTTATCTGCTTGGATCGGTGTCGTAGCACCTGAAGGATGGCCTTACTCCTGCTCTGCTCTGGGCCTCCTTTCAAGTCGTCAAGCCAACCATGGTCAGAGTGGCCAGTTCTAAACCAAGGTAGATCAGGCTATTTCTGCCGAAAGCCCTTGAATAAAGGCCATTCTGCTTAGTTGAGGCTGCTGCTGCTTAGCCCATCAGCCTTTTGTGATCCACTTCTCCAACAGCCCATGGTGTCCTTGAGTTCAA